ACAATAGGAAAACATTCTTCGTTCTGCCTGGAATCGAACCCGGGAGAGACTTTTAGCATAGTAGATCAGTGTGTTGCCTACTATGTGTTGCCACGCTCGCTCTCGTAAAATCGATCATCTTTGTTTTACATAATAAGTAGCGGCACAAAAATAATACAAAAATTACTGTATTTTGAAGATTTGTTGCATTATCAGATATTAAACTTTTAGTATTTTCAACTTTATGCGATAATATAGAATGTTTGCTGAAGGTTTTGCTAAAAAAAATATGTTTATATATATATTTATATATTCCTTATATTTCTAAGAGGAAATAATAATTTATATATTAAGCCAATTGTACTTTTACGATTTTATTATTTTTTAACATAATGGTTCTATAATATTTCGATAATCAAATATCTTGATATCGATTAAACTCTTTTTATTATCCCCCCCTCCCTCCATAGAAAATATATATTGCGAAGATATCACTCCTCAGCCAAGTGTTGGAACAGTTTGTGTTGGACTGTTATACTGAGTCTATTTTTTTTAGCTGAATTGGCTGCACTTAGAACTAGAACTTCAGAGTTTATCTTTCTTCTTCCAATGTAAGAAAGAAAGATAAACTGTGAAGACTAGTACGACCAGTTCAGTCAAAAAGAACAGACTTACTGTGTCATCTGTGTACCTTGTTGGAAAACAGCCAGTGTCTTAAAATACTATTTAAGTTTTGTCTTGTTATAAAAATGGATTATGAATGCCGTCCTATGTTTATCTAATCGAAATCTTTTCCTACATTATATCATACCGACGAGATATGGCCGGAGCACACACTTCTACATAACGCACAATGCATTATGCATAAGAAAATTAACCAATCATAGTCCTCCATTTCTATTCCCTAATGAAAACGAAAGATTCTGTGTGTCCATAGTATCTCAGGTACAGTCAAGGACTTACTACAAATGCTTTGAAGCATTTTTTGATTGGTGCAGTAAATTGGTGTAGTAAAATTCTTTGTTTTGATTGGACAATCAAACGCTTCAAAACATTTGTAGTGTTACAAATGTACATTAATCATAACCCTCGTCGGTAGTTATATTCAAAAACAAAAGCTGTATGCTCATTGGATATCGCGCATCGCGTGTCGCATCATCGCGCTGATCTGAATCCAGCATAAGATCTATGCTGGACGTTGCTGTCGGCGCTGTCGATACAGGATGTAGTCCACTTGGTGCTACAAATGCTTCGAAGCATTTTTTGATTGGTCAATTCATAGAATTCTTTATTTTGATTGGTTAATCAAACTCTTCGAAGTTTTTGTAGCGCTAAATAGGCCGTACCAGAGAATATATATGCATGTCTGTTTCACGTATGTTTCTATGGTCATTTTATCCGCACCGCACTGATAACGTGTGTCGCGATGGCTGCTCCGGTGAAAAAGCGTGAGATCCAGCAGAAATTGCGCGACGATGACGATGACGAGAACCGCATTTCATCCAGCAGCGAGGATGAAGAATACGAAGTTACAGACGAGCAGGTAAGGAATGGCTCGCTCGTATCACGACAATTTAGAGATCAATTCACTTTTCGACAAGCACGCCTTCCCATTCATTCATTTGTTCACTCAATCTTCTAGTTTGTCTCTCTTTTTTTTTCTATCTATTCGAACGCACGAACGACGCGATGCACGCGTGAAAATCGTGATTGAGATGATTTCAAATTCTGATGAAAATTCTATGTGATTATCATTCCAGCACAAATTATTGCTACAAATGATGAAATATCAACTATAATGATCTTTAATGTTCAATGCAGAAATTTCTCAATTGAAAAAATATATTTTAATTCCGAAAAATTTTTTTCAATTTAAAAAAAAATTTTCTGAAAATTTCTGAAAATTAAATTATTTACTTTCTGAAATATATGCCTATTATTACATAGATTTTCTTTCTAGAAGTTAGTTATTAAAAATATCAAATTTTTCTTTATTAACTAATTTGTGTTGTTAAAGATTATTATTATTATAAAAAAATAATTGAAAACTTAGTAATGGATTTGTTGTTACTTTAATTTTCTCAATCTGGTGGTGATTACTATTGAAGCTGAAAATTGTGCTTTTCTTAGTTGATCTCTGTCATCTGAAGTTTTATTTTTTTGGAATCTGATAATGGATTATATCTAGCAAACTCTACAAAATAATTGGCACAAGACTGTGATAAATATAAATTTCAGGGAATGGAACTTCAAGTAGATTTTGAAGGTCGTAATCCACAAGATCCAGATTATCATGGAATCAAAACATTGTTGCAACAATTATTTCTTAAAGCACACATTGACTTGGGTGGGCTCACAGATTTAATTATATCTCAGAATTATGTCGGATCTGTTGTGAAACAATCTGAAGAAGTAGATGAATCTGATGACGATGATAATGACATCAATGATGTCTTTGGTATTACAACCGTTATTAATATCTCTGATAAGCAGGTAGATAAAATTTATATTTAATAACATATAATTATTATCAAATAGAAGCACTTTTTATCAGTCTTTTTCTATCAATTACTTAAAAAAAAATTAATTTTTTTTTTCAGAACGTTTTATGTATACAACAACTGAGAGATTTATTAAAACAATTAGCAGATGAACATGCAACAGATGCGACTAATACCATGATAAAAAATGTATTGGAGAATGACGCGGCGCAATTGGGTTTACTTATTAATGAGAGATTTGTCAACATTCCCGCCAAGATTTCAGTGCCACTTCTTGAAAGTCTTATTTCTGAAGTGAAACGTGCCAGTAGTAGAAATATGCCTTTTAACTTTTCTTATTACATACTTATATGTAAATTGTATAAATATGAAGATAGGAATATTGGAAAAAAGACGAAAAACAGAAAGAAAAAACGAAACGCAGCTGGCGAACCATCGATACTGTGGAGCAATCCAGAAGAAGAAATCTTTGCAGAAGAGGCAACTGTTTATTTCGAATTTTCCGTTGAAGAAGAAGCAGACAGTGGTTTATCTGGAACATGGACCGAAACGGACGATGAAATGATCCCATATAGAAGAGTTCTGCTTTTCGACGCATGTAAATTGCAATCTATATTCGATAAAATACGAAATCAATTTTCTTAATGCCATGGGCAGTGCTAATATTTTCGTAAACGAGCCATTGAATTCGATGGAACTTTATATTTATAATATAAAAAAAAGTGTTTCTGAAAGATAATTTTCTTGATATCTGCATATAACAGTGTATTTTCAATTGTAATAGTATGGTACACTAAGCTTTTTATAATATATCTTTTACATAATGCGCTTATACTATAATCTATTTCTAAGAATTTCGTCCTTTCACTCTTTCATCCTTTCGTCTTTATTTTTTTTTTTATATATATATAAATTACAAAATTGCAAAATAATCATTAATTTTGTATTAGACTTCATCTGGCTACACATTTTTATACATAGTAGTATAAAAAGTAGTTTTACGATCAAATAAATAGAATTTGAATAAATTTAGGTTGAGCAAAATATATCTATAAGACAAAATGTACATACAGAATGATAAAGCTATATATAATATATTGTAAAATAATAGTAATATAAATTAATCAATTATTTGAATTTTGAGAAATTTTTTGGAATTGTAAGTTGAATTTTAAGTTCTCATTGCTATGATGCTGTGTCTGTAAATTTGAGTGATTGTCTTATCGGCTTAGCTCTTCGTCTCATAGTACCAAGAATGTTTAACATTTCAGAAACTGCTGGTGGCTTAGTCTCTGCTTCTTGTCGTCTTTTCCGCTCTTCTTCTCTTTGTTTCTAAAATCAAAACCTCGATCAAATATACGTATTATCGACTATTGCACTTTATTTAAAAACAAATGTCCAAAAACATCTGAAGATTTAAAGAATATTTAACAGAGAAATTGTAATGGTACTTTAAATATCTGTATGACGTATTCTAAATATTTATACAATCTGACTTACATCTGTTTGTTTCAGCGTGAAACGCCCGCCTTTAATTTGATTAATAATATCGTCGATAGCTAAAAATATTAGATAGATATGAGATCTAGCAATTCATAAATTTTACTCATTCGCAGTAAAAATAATTAATTAATTGATTAATTTAGTAATTGATAAAAAAAATAGATTATATAATTACCGGGTTGTTGCGCGACCGCAGGCGATTTTTTCGGCGTAATGCCAAGCATATTCTCCATATCGCTTACGGCAGTGCGTTCGGAGGTCAATTTTTCTTTCGTCAGCAATTTTATTGACGACTGGCCAGTTGTCGACATCGGCAGAGGTGGAGGAGGTGGTAACGGTGGCGGCGGCGGTTTCGAAACTTTCTCCTCTAACGCGCTAATTTTTTCTTTTAAGCAGAGCACGACATTTTCCAGCTCTTCTACCGATTTCTCGGCCCTTTCGGCTCTCTGTAGAACTACTTCTAATTCAGATTCCGCGAGTTTTAACTTTTCCTCGACAATTTCAAATTCTACATTCGATTCTTTTTCCTCTAATTTCTCCTGCAACATCTGTACTTGAGAAGCATGATTTTGCTGTTCCTCCTCCAGTAGCCTCTTCAGGGATTCCACCTCTTGCAAAACGGTTAACAATCTGCCGTTCGGATCGTCTCCGACCTCGGCCATAAGAAGAGCGCTTTGATGCGCTAAGACGTTTCGTTCTTTTTGAACCTAAACAAACGGCCAACTGATCAGACATATAAAAATAATTACAATTTTCAATTCTCACTTTGATTTCTATATCACATACATTATTTACAAGATAGAAGTTTACTCTAGGATAATAATAATATCTAAGTAATATCACAAATAATTTTGAAATTCTAAAATGTAAATAAATTGTGATTTAACGAAATTAAATTAAAAGATTGTAATAACGTACCCTCTCGGCTTCCATTTTTAGCATTTTTGCGCTTTCTCTCTCGCGATCACATTGCGTCTTCAGGGTCTGCACTTCTTCGGCCACCATTTTCGTGACTCTTTCCATGTTTTCCTTGTGCACTTTCATCTCGTTAATTTTTTCCTCACCTGTGATGTAAACGCATCAGTTTTAGCGTCATATTTTGTCTACTTTATGAAAAATTTCATTTTACCTTTTTGTCGAAGGGCTCTCTCCTCTTCCAGCTGCGTGGTCAGCTGCGTCACCTGCTCCTGCGCCTCGAATTCTTGAAGACGCGCGGAATGAAGTTCTGTTTGCAGTCGCGCTATTTCGCCGCTCAATTCTAAAAACAGACTTTTTTATTAGCCCAATTATTTCATTGTTATTCCAACTTCATTAACTTTGAGATATTAGGCCTGTTTTTTTATCTGAATTTCCTGAATAATTATTTTCTCTCTTTTTTTCTTTCTATGGAAAGAAAAAGTGAATCGTGCAAGAGATTCAGCTAAAAAGAACAAGATCGCAAGATGATGTCGGCACAAACTGAACAAAATTAATTACACTGACCTTTCATCGTTTGCCTCAACTGATCCAGATCTTCGAAGTTCGCGTCCACTTCGTCGGACACATCAAAATGCAGTGACTCATCCGGATTGCTATGTAAAAATTTCTGGGCCATGATTTGGGATCTTCGCTTCAGCTCCCGGTTTTGTCGATACCACTACAAGTACAATAAAATTATTTTACCATTGTTTCAGAATTGTTTCGGTATTTTATAATTTTTTGCGTACGCATGGATTATTATTACACAGATTAAATTAATAAATCATTACTTGAGAAGCTTGTTGCATAGCTTTATGCATCGCGTTCGTTTCCACGTCATATTGATGCTTTAATTGTTCGTATTCCTTACACACGGCCTCAGAAACTGCAGGAAATCGAATAAAAATTTAATAATTTTTGAGAAAATTTGACTATGAGATATAACTTCAAAAGTTAAGTATGCACCTGTTCGCAATTTTAACAGTTTTTGCTCCTTCTCTTGAATTTGCGATTGCAGCGCATTATTTTCCCTCTGCAATTGTTGATATTTTTTCTCCAAATCAGCGTGTTCTTTACTCACTGTGGAAAAATGTGATATTCGATTATTACAAAAAACGCAATTTTCTACTGTGATCTACGTTGATTTTTCTTTTTTAGTTTTAGTTTTTAGTTTTTTAGTTACTGCAATTATAGAACGGATGTGCGTGGGTAAAGTGAGTCAGTTGTCAAACGGTGTAATTAAATCGGCAATCAGATTAAGGTCACATAATCGTAGAACTATTGAGAAATGATCGATGATATCATCATATGTTTCTAAAGAGTATTAGCATTACGATAAAATATAATTCTGGCAATGATGAATGATTAAACGTAACATAATGAACTTTTATTCCACAAATAATTCACGAGAGGCAAAAAATGACACTAAGTGCATTCGCATACATTAAATTGCGTTACTTTCGCAAAGTTCTGATTGGCACATTATTCACCGATCGTCTTTTTTTTTTTTTTTTTTTTCTTTATTGCCGTACTCCAAATATTGTCTTTAAGCATCCTTGGTCAATGGTGAAACTCTGACGCGTCGCGTTACATTATGCATGAATTGCTTACGAAGCGTTTGTCATCTAATTAAAATCCGAGATGTATTCGAAAAAATTTGAGAAAACTTTTACTTTTCAATGTCTACTCGTTTTCAACGTAAACTCGATCGATCAGCCTCGATAATATCGTTCCTCGAGATAATAAATTTCTGAGAATGTAAATCTCATCGGAGAGAGAGAGTAACTCGTGCCACTTTTATTCCTGTCAATTTATAATTCTATCGTGTATAAACAGTGTGACTAATGGAGCGTCATTGCCTTCATTTTATATGCATAAATGAATCACGACGCAACTACATAGATCGGCGTTTTCTCAGTCAGTCGATTGTCCATGAACCGTAATCACGTAGTGTACGCGCTTTCCATATTGCTTATGAATCTTCGTTAAACAAAATTCTGCAAAAAAATTCCACGCCGAATGAACTTATCGCACCCGCAAAAGAATTCAAAATAACAAGAACCATCTTGTTTTCGAACGATCCAAGTGCAAATATGTATCGCAAATACGAATCGCTTTATAAACAAGTTCACTTTCTTCGTTTGAAGAAAATACAAGAAATACAAGAAATACGATTTAAGTAACCGCGTTTGAAATCGGTATGCGTATCGAACCGTTTATCGTCCCGTAATTATCACCCGATTGTTCGATAATTTTACCTATCGTTAATTCAATATTTGGATTTTGACAATTAGTCGTTATCCGTAACGTTCACTGTTAATCCACCTCTATCGTTTTTTCCAAACAATTAACAATTACCAGTTTCGCTCTTTTGCAGCAAATGTTTCCGTTTCTTCTCCGAGTCCTCGTATTTGCACTTCCACTTGCTGTCCTGGAAGCTGTTGCTCCTGTTGAGCCTGACAACGTCGTTCATCTTGTAACCACTTGCCGGCGTCGTCTTCTCCTCGGAATTTCGTATCTCGATGCTAGAGCTTGACAGTTGGTTATTGTTACGTGACCTCAGCTGTACGACTGAAGCTTCGAGCTTTTCGAAAGACGCTCGTTGAGCCGCTACGTTGCCGGTCCCGCGGCCGAGCTTCTCGAAGGATCCTCTGCGCTTTGGAGGACATCTCTCTTGGGCCTTGATCGTGGCCGATATTCTGGGCACCGGAATGTGAGAGTGAATCACGCTCGGAGACGTCCTCGGTGGCTCCGTGCTCAGGACAATGTTGAATTCCGTCTTATTCATGGTGCCTGTGGAAATAAGTGCGCTCATTATCTTCTTTATCATAAGCTTTGTTAACGATAACGATGGAGTTTAAGAACAGACATTTCCTGATTAAAGTATTAAGTTCATGTCGCATCGCGTCCCATCGCGGTTTTTTTCCCAAGAATGTCATTTGGATAAAAAATTTTGGGGTAGAACACAGTAACGTTTTGCAATCGATATGAACAATTTTTTACTATTATTATTATTATTACTGTCATCATTATTAAAATATTAAATAAATTATTTAAAAAATTTTGATATATTATTGTATTACTATTTTAGTTTGTGTAATTTTACAGATTGGATATGGTTCCATTATGATATTAAGTACAAAATGTAATATTGACACAGATAAGTACATCGATATATCTTCGTTGAGAAATTACGATATTTGACAAGTGTCTTGGACGGAGATATGAAAAAAAACGCATGCATCTGTCACGTGCATAAATTCTTTACGAACAACATCATCGATTGTTGATTCATTAAATTACATAATTTGTCCATAGATGGGAAAAACGATTTGATAGATTTCTATCCAAACGCATTGCCATTTGCGAAGGTTAATAACATTGATTTCTAAAAATAAACATTGGTCTCGCCCTCGGCAGTCAAGTTTAAAATGGCTGCTGTGTCAAAATATTCTTATGCATCTGTATTCGGATTATAAATTATATAAATTTATAAATATCTCATTTACTCATGCTATCTTTTACAATTGGATTTAGAACAAAAATTAATCCAATATCAATAAATAATTCAAAAGAAATAGATATTTAGAAAATATTCATGTTTCATTAACTATTATTTATGACATCCTAGATGAAGATTTACTCAATACAAACTGCAGGTAGCAAAATTACATTGCTTAATTTTTCAAAAATTTTCAATAACGATTATATCATAATCATTAATTATAGCCGGTGAGATTCTGACTTACTCGCTTTTTTTATCACGGTTATTAACGGAAAGAGATTCAAAGTATTCTTGATCGGATTTATATGTACGCGTTCATTCACGTCGCAAAGTACGAGTTGCCGGAATAGAGGTTTATGCGTTTCTAAAATAGGATTCCTCCAAAAGTTTACCCGAGGAGTTAGGTTTAGACGTGCTGAGCTTCGCGGGAGTAAGGCAAATAGGCCTCCCGCGGGCCATTTTAAAGTTAATTCGTCGGAATGTGCGTCTGTATCAGGGCTCGTGCGGCTCGATCGTTAAACCGACGACGTCGACGAAGGGTCGAGCGTTGTTTTCGGCCTAAGCCGAAAGTCCGCCAGGTGTTGCGATCGTTTTCGATAATAAGTCGAGCATAATTGCCGTTGTTCTGGCTTCCGCTACGTCAACGTCCCCAACGTCCCCGGCTTCCTCGAGCGCAAAAATCGAAGAGGGACTTGCAAAAACTCGCCCCGAATCCGAGACGACTTAGGCGAGAGTAGAATACAAAATCCTCCATTCGAGAAGTCAATTAGTCCTTTCGTTACATTCGTGAATGAAAGTGCATGCCTAAATGCGGGAAAGGCGTTCCAGTTTGTTGTTGAAATCGATAAGCAGGACCGTATTCTCGAGGCATGTTCATGAGCATACAGCAGCACGTTTCATAGTACTGGGATAATGTCGAATAAGATAAAAACTCGGGTAAAAAAATATTCATCAGAAAGAAACAATATAATAAATTAACGTGACCGCGAAATTAATCTTTAATTCATTCAGTACGAAACTTGGTTTATTTGAAAAAGTATTTTCACTTCACAATCGACAGGCGGTAGATCTTTAGGGAAATGACTTGGCGTTACATAAATGTGTATTCTATTTAAGGCAAGAGAAAGTAATTTAGAAAACAGAACGATCATATATGTTTCACATGTTTATCGAGCAGTTGACTTGCAATCGTTTTTTTCCTTCCCGGTACTATACTCGGTACTATAACTAGTGTCATCGATCGTTGCA